ATATATATATATATATATATATATATACAGTCAACCCTCACTTTACGCGGTCCCACATTCCGCGTTTCCACGTTTACGCCGTGCCCTGCCAGAACCCAGGATGCTCACATTCCGCGGTGGGTGTACCCCTTTACACGGGTGAAGTATAATTTTTTTTAATTTAGCTCATAAAATTCATACAAATTATCCGGCCAGAATATAATTTACATTGCTGGAATTCTTACAATTTGATGATCATTTTGAATATAAACATCATAGATTTTGCATTAGACATACAAATTTTAGATATAATGTTTACTCTTGAGTAAATATGTTATCTTTTGTGCAAAATATATGATATTTATATTCAAAATATTCCTGGTCTTACAAGGAATCCAGCAATGTCAATTATATTATCCTAACTTTAGTCTGATTTATTATTTATTACTAAAAAGGTAAACAGTCTGGTATTCCCACACATTTATCTAGTAGGGACGTTGGTGGGGGGTGGGGGGAGGAGGGAGGGAGGGACCGGCGACCGACCATCTGTTACCGTGTGAAGAATATTTTTTTTTTTTATTAACTGAAGATTTTTATTTTAGCTCATAAAATTCATACAAATTACCCGGCCAGAATATAATTTACATTGCTGGAATTCTTACAATTTGATGATCATTTTGAATATAAGCATCATATATTTTGCATTAGACATAAAATTTTTAGATATAATGTTTACTCTGAGTAAATATGTTATCTTTTGTGCAAAATATATGACATTTATATTCAAAATATTCCTGGTCTTACAAGGAATCCAGCAATGTCAATTATATTATCCTAACTTTAGTTTGAGGAATTATTTATTACTATACCTGGTTTTCCCCCCAAAATTTCTCAGAGGGAAGAGCCAGCGAGTGTACTGTGAGAAGATGGGGAGGGAGTCGAGTCCATTATTTGAATGGACATTAACTTGGCGACTGTATTTCTTTATTTCTCTTAAGTATTAATTGTGTGCATGTACCATCATAAAATTAAGATGTTATTTTTACTAGAACATAGGTATTGTGTTGGAAAAAGTGGAGTTTGGGGGTCAGCTGGTCTCTATTTCATTTAATCCCATATGTTATGTTATTCACTTTACGCGTTTCTCACTTTCCGCGGTACCCTGTGGGTTACATTAACCGCGTAAAGTGAGGGTTGACTGTATATATATATATATATATATATATATATATATATATATATATATATATATATATATATATACTGTATATATTTGTGTGTGTGTGTGTTTCTACACACACACTAAACACATACAAATAAATATTAATGGGAAAATCCTCTCACAAATAAGCAGAAACAAATGTGTTAAAAATGTGACAGTCTACCCTCAAGTCCACTCCGTGCTTTTTTATTAATAATGCACGGAGTGGACTTGAGGGTAGACTCAACATTTTTAATACATTTGTTTCTTATTATTTGTGAGAGGATTTTCCCATTACAGTGACCCCTCGTTTAACGAACGCCTCGGTTAACGAAATTTCGGTTAACGAACTGCCTTCCATATGGATCTTCAATTCGGTTAACGAACAAAAATTCGGTTAGCGAATTTCTTACGAACCGACCTCAACATGTTTTTGCTTGCACTGACCGGGCAACCAGCTTTAGTATCAGTCCACCAATACATTAATCGGTTCTAGGGCTTAAATTCCTTACTATTTTAGTAAATATCAAGAAGTTTATACTATTCAATAATTTTAAAAGTTTAATATTCAATTTTTTAGTCATTTTAACAATTATTGAACATAATTGAAGGTAAAGTGACTAGTTTAATGCGCGGCATCCAGCCTCTTAACACAGCAAACAGGAGTTAGTCTCTCTCTGTTTTCACTGGAGGTAACATCTTGCTTGAGACTCTCTTCAATTAAACGCTTTTTTCTGTGTTTCCAAGCAAATTATTGATCATTTTGAAATATATTTTACATATTGACAATATATAATGCAGTGCAGTGTTGATTTAAAGAAAATAATCTTGAATTACACCAAGAGAACTAAAATTTTATGGGTGAAATGGTACCATGGGGTGACTTCTCTTCCACCCCAATGCCTTCTCTTCTTCCTTCTCCTCCACCCCCATTCTAATTCCCATCATCATCATCCAGGAGCCTTCTACATACACACCTCAAAGTAAGTGAAGTTTTCTACAATTTTTGTTGAATTTAGGAAATTTTCGGTGAGCTGGAACCAATTACCCAAAAACCCATTGAAACAATGGTTTCGGTTAACGAACTTTTCGGTTAACGAACGACCTTCTGGAACGGATTGAGTTCGTTAACCGAGGGGTCACTGTATTATGTGTTTATGTGTTTTGTGTGTGTGTGTGTGTGTCTACACACACACACATACTGTATATACAATACAGGTAAAAGAAATAATTGCCCAAAGGGCAAACAGGCAAACACATAAATGGATTTTTTTTTTTTTTTTTTTTTTACGCAAGTAAAAATGTTATTAGCGGATTTGGCGATTCACGGCCATTCTGAGAACCTAATCCCCCGTGAATTTGAAGGGCATGCTGTCAGTGTGTATGCTTCTCACTTGCTCCTATACTTACAAAAATAACATTCTCTATTCTCAAACAAATTAAGACATGATATTTTGTTAAGTTGTAGAGTATTAATAACATGATACTACTGTAGGTGCGCATTGTGGATAATTATGGGGCGGGAGCCATGGTGACAATATGGAGACCCTCAGAGGACCTCAGACTGGCTCTCACCGAGGGCAGCCACTTCAGCATACGTTACCTCTTGGCTGCAGGCTTCAGGTAAGTAACATGAGTACAGTAATCAGTATATCGATCCATGAAACTTGGCTTAAAAAGTGATGATAAATGTATGTATAGTGTCAACAACTACTTTTCATTTTCACTTGAAGAAAGTGGAGTACTGTATTAGAATACAATAATTTATGGTTGCTGTTGTAGCTGTATAAGGGCGTGTTTTCTTAGTTATCTTTTCTTACTATTTATCCCCTTACTGTTACACAACTATTTTTCTTTCTTTCTTATGTTATTAATTGTCTAGGTTAGATATGTCTTAGTTAGATTTCTTCATATATTTTCTCCATAACCTCTGACCTTTGGTAGCATGGCGAGGGTTAGGACACATGGGTTACTGTAATTCTGGTATTAAGCTATGGGCAAGAATGTAGGTACATACTGCAGGAAAATGATACCCCTAACATACAAATAGATGGTTTATTAAAATTAAAGTAAATTTAGGTAAAGTGTCATTAACATACAACTACAAGGATCAACTCCTTGGCTTTACTCATCTGCAACTCCAATTGGATACACTATCCACTTACACCATTACTGGGTGTACCTTTAAAAGAACATACAACATAATACTTTTACCTGTGGAACACTAGAGTACCATCAATACAAGGTACCAGAGATTCTCAACTCTTAATCTGAAACAGGACTCTAGGAACACCACCAAAATACTACTTGAAAATTATCAGGTTGGTAGCTTCCTTCCACTATTTTCTACATTCGCCAAGAAATAAGTGGTGACCTCATACTCCTGCTATCTCCACATACTCATACACTGAGGAGATACATAATGGGTACCCGGATGAATAACACAGCCAGAGTACACTCTACTTGGAGGTGAGCTCAAAACACACAACACTGCTAATGAAAGCTGGCCATGTTTACTATGATGCGTGAGATCATCATGGATGGATGGTAAACACAGGCTTGCGTGCGGCTGGTTGGCCTGGCAGGCTAGCCGGGAGGCTGGCTGGCCCGCATGGGGCCCACCCCACGTGTCTGATGCTATTCAGTTTTGGTGGTTTTCATCCATCTCCGCTACTAGGGTTGGAGGTCGTTCTAGCATACAATGATCTCTCTTGGCCTACAGGGATCTGTGAATAAGATGATGGCGGGGCTTAGTCTGAGATGACACGAATGTCATACATTTTTACAAGCTGAAGGTGTAATCACTTGCATATTCAAACAAAACACAACTGCGTCAAATCACTTAATAGGGCTGGGTAACCCAAAGTATCAAGCATATCTGTGAACAAGGCGATGGTGGGGCTTAGTCTGAGATGGGAGCCACTGCCTCCCGTCTCAGCCAGCGCTCCCCCATCCCTGTGTTGTCATTTACACACATATTATCAACTCTTTTACTTTACACTGACATTTGAAAATGAGGCTACAAACTCATTTTAATTTGCTATTGTCAACTTTTTAAACTACTCAATGACTGAGTTTTCAAAGACAAAAATCAAATTGATTTCAAGTTCAAGATTGGCAGTCATTGTGGGTGGGGCTTAGGACAGGATCTCAAATTACTTCCCGTTAAATTCTCAAGATAAAACAAGTAACGCTTCCCTTCAGGATAATTGATTCCTTTCGTAATTAACGTCCTTACAACAATTTCACTAAGGACATCAGGTTCTCTGATGTTCATAGATGAAAAAGAGGTGACTTCAGCATCAGTTAGCAATTCCTGGCATCTCTAGGGACGACAGCAATGATTCCTCATTCTTACTGTTTACTGTACTCCGACTTAAATTGAAAATTTCACTAACAGTATTTACAATTGAAGCTTTCAACATCATTCACAAAGGTTCTTGAATGCTTCATCTGTAACCAGACATATCAAATTTGACGCAAAACAATGGTGTTCTCTCTCAAATTCAGATTCCCTGAACACCCTATGAGGTATTCAGGAATACCCGAGTCTCTCCGGTAATACTGTACTTAGTGGAAAATGGAGGAATCAGGTCTCCTGAAGCAGTTAGAGAATGAACTCTTCAACTGGGGGCTTCAAAAGGTTCACAGGTTTTGTGGGTGTGGAGCATAATATGAATTTATGAATTATTAGGTGCTAACTAGACTAGCTATTCTATTGTGACCATGACAGCTGGAGGAACTGAAGTAGTCAGGACTGACAGTCACTGATTCATGAAGATCAGATTTATAAAACTCCCAAAGTTAAGAAAAAAGCCCT